TTGAATTGAATGGTTACCACAGGAACTCCACCAACTTTGCTGTTGCACCTATCTTAAGTTTTTGTGTGAAATATGATATATTTGAGGCGAAACAACAGGACTGTATTTTTATGAAACGTTTTCTATTTGAAGTAATTTGCTTATGCAAATAATCTTCAGAAATACTTTAAATGTATATAAATCGCATAATCTCCTTCAAATGGGCCTATACCTTGAATTAGAAATTTCTCGTTCTATTTCTATAAATAAGTTTTCTATATATTGCTAGTCTCGCTTATACCAAGTCGGTATTATAATGTGGATAATAATGGATATATACTGATTTTTATGGCTCAAATTCAACGGTGAGTTGTGAACACTAGTACTGAATAACTGAGCTATAAAAGAATTCCTTTTCTGAGACTTACTCAAATCAACCCACGAAAATGCCGACAGTTCCTCTTTAAATTTTAATATGAGAAAATTCATAATATTCTAGTCACTGTTATCACTGTCTGTTATCCCCTCTGAAAGTTTCCAGTGGACGTAAGTTACCTAGCCTGGCAAGCTATCTTTCGCTTTTCCCCATTATTTTGGGTATCAACTAGATGTAAACTTCCAGATATCATAGATTTGACTATTTCTTTCAATCGGCCATTTTAAAACAGTTTAGATTCCACAGACCTTAGACCTTCCCAAATAAACCCACAGAAATACAGACTGTTTACCTTTAAACCAGGCTTGTGAATACCGTATGCCGGTGACATACACGAATCTTAAAGTTTCTTTACAAACTTTGAACTTGTATTTTTATTTCTTAGTAAATGGCTAAGCTTGGTTGAGTAGAGTGTCTGTAATGGACGTAAAAAAGGTATAATTTGGCATCAGAACGTAAATGTTCTCTGATGCCAAATCATGCCTACTATACGTCCATTAAAGACACTCTACTCATCCAAGCCAGGCCCGTAGCATGCCGAGTACTTTTAGGGGCCGAACATCCAATGAAGGGGGGGGGGGGGGGGCAGTTTAGGTAACCTCTTCCCTCCCCTCCTCGAAAAACTTAAAGAATTAATATGCTTTGAAGTGGTTCCCTCTATTGAGTTATTGCTACGTTTATTGCTTCAAGGATGCCAATTGGAAGTCTGAAAATATGATTTTCTGCTGAAAATTTTCTTCCTGAAACGTTTATTTGTATAGGAACTGCAGGGCCACAATAAGAAAATTTTGGGAATAAGACGTCTGTAAACCCAAATTCCTGACATTTCCCAGCAAATTTGAGTTTGAAGATTATTTTTATACGCCCACACGAAAGTATGGGCGTATATTGTGGTTGCCTCTGTCGGTCCGTCGGTTCACATTTACCTCGTGCTCACTCACAGGCTACAATTCTCTATAGATTCTTTTGATCTTTTGTATGTGTGTCAATATCATTATGAAGATGTGCACTATTGAATTTGGTGATGATGCCAATATTTTTATGGCATAAAACTCTAATATCGCGTTTGTTTTACAGTTCACATTTACCTCTTTATCAAGGCGTATGGTGGGCGTATACGCTTGCGAGACTTGCCGCAAGCCTATGTTTATAGTGTCTGAGGGATCTAGTCTAGAAAATTGTGAGAACTAGACGCCTGTTAACGCAATTTCCTGATTGGGGTTTATTTGTATAGGGACTGCAGGGCCAATAGAAGAAAATTTTGAGAATTTGTCGTCTGAAAACGAAAATTTCTGTTATTTTCCACCTAATTTAAGGTTTAAGATTAATTGTATAGGCTCTGAGGGATCGAGTCTAGAAAATTTTGAGAAAGAGACGCCCACAAAGGTAATTTCCTGACGAAGTTTAAGTTTATTTGAATAGGGACTGTGGGACCACCAGATGAAAATTTTTAGAATTAGACGCCCGGAAACGCATATTCCTGACCTTTCCCACCGAATTAAGGCTTAAGATTTTTTGCGTTGGATCTGAGGGATCTCGTCTAGACAATTACGAGTATAAGATGCCTGGAAACACAATTTTCTTACATTTCCCAGCAAAGTTAAGGTTCCAGATGACTTGTATAGAGTCACAGGTATGTCCCTTAGAAAATTTTGAGAATAAGATGTGATTTCCTGTCGAATTTAGAGCTCAGAACTATTTGTTTCATAACAAAGAATACCCTTGACTCAGTGAAATGAATTGATTTATAAAAAAAAAATAACAATTGACATTTTTTTTTAGGGGGGGTCACGGCCACGGCCTTCAATGCAGATCCTGTTATGCATACGAGGTATGTAGACTCCAATTAAGGTCCTTATAAATACCATTAGATGAGCATAAACCATTTATCATAAGGTACTGAGGGAAGAAATAGTATTTGGTAGCACATACAGCTTTCGGGCACTAAATTGGTCCAAAGTTCTCTTCGGTGTGGGTAGTTTTCATGCTGACTCGAATCGACAACGACAAATCGATTGTGCCATGGAAAGATGTAAAGTAAAGAGGTCAAATTCGCTTACAAACATCAGTTTATGTAGAATACTCAGTGATAATACAGAAGAATTTATGACAAGTTTATAGTGAAATTTCTCAATCAAGTGAAAGACTTGCGGTATCAGACATAATAACCAAACAGTGAATTGTATACATACAATCAAATGAAGCATATAGACAGAATCTTATAGCAAGTAGAAAAATTGCTATGTTTATTTTCACCCTTTATGTCATGTGTGTGTTTAAACATTGAACAAGTACAAAATTATTTATATACATACATGAAGATAATATACAAGATAGACATTTTTCATTTGAATTTTAAAATTACAATTATGTGCTCAACGATATTCCTACTAAAAGATACAATATTATGATGACATGATACCATTTTGTGAATCAATACTTTTACAGTTAAAATGTAAAGTTTGAGTTCCTATGACTTATTTTCAAGCAAATGAGGTACGAACCACTTTGCTTGTACGTGTACCAAGGACGCGTTTTCATACACCATACACTTTCGCCCGTTGTACTAGGCTCCTATAATTACAGACAAAGTCAACAAGTTGGTTTGTATTGCACTAAATGGTACTTCATACGTCAATTTTTCTCTTTTTTTTCTTAGTTTCAAAGCAAACCATAATAAGCTATCACCAAACATAGAGAAAGTGTAGAATATCTCTTGATTCCCTTTAACAATAACTTATAACTAGGCGACAAAAACAAGCTGAAATGGCATTGTATATGTTTTCGGTCGTAAAAAATAACCGGAAGATAATCTGAAAACCTATGCACGACGTACACGCAAAGAAACATAACACATTCAATATGCGAATAGACATAGGGGTAAAATACATTAAATTACATTAAAATCAGTAACATCCGATTAACTTGAGAATGGGTCACAAAATATAATCATAAACGGATTAGAAAATATAATTCTAACACGAGAACAAATTAGAAATATTATTTAAAACTTGAGAATTGGTAACAAAATGTAAATTTAACGAGGGAACATACAAGAGTTCTTCTGCACCTACTACTAAATAAATCCTGAGCACAAATGAACTATTGTTTAATTGGGAAAAGATTAAACCTGAGAATAGATCAATACCTGGTGAATAAATGAATTTCACAAACTATCATCTTAACTTGAGAATTACATTGAGATAATATTAAACACAATATAGCCACGAGAAAAGATAGTTTAAATTAAACAAACTATCATCTTAACTTGAGAATTACATTGAGATAATATTAAACACAATATAGCCACGAGAAAAGATAGTTTAAATTAAACAAACTATCATCTTAACTTGAGAATTACATTGAGATAATATTAAACACAATATAGCCATGAGAATTGATAGTTTAAATTAAACAAACTATCATCTTAACTTGAGAATTACATTGAGATAATATTAAACACAATATAGCCATGAGAATTGATAGTTTAAATTAAACAAACTATCATCTTAACTTGAGAATTACATTGAGATAATATTAAACACAATATAGCCATGAGAATTGATAGTTTAAATTAAACAAACTATCATCTTAACTTGAGAATTACATTGAGATAATATTAAACACAATATAGCCATGAGAATTGATAGTTTAAATTAAACAAACTATCATCTTAACTTGAGAATTACATTGAGATAATATTAAACACAATATAGCCATGAGAAAAGATAGTTTAAATTAAACAAACTATCATCTTAACTTGAGAATTACATTGAGATAATATTAAACACAATATAGCCATGAGAATTGATAGTTTAAATTAAACAAACTATCATCTTAACTTGAGAATTACATTGAGATAATATTAAACACAATATAGCCATGAGAATTGATAGTTTAAATTAAACAAACTATCATCTTAACTTGAGAATTACATTGAGATAATATTAAACACAATATAGCCATGAGAATTGATAGTTTGAATTAAACAAACTATCATCTTAACTTGAGAATTACATTGAGATAATATTAAACACAATATAGCCATGAGAATTGATAGTTTAAATTAAACAAACTATCATCTTAACTTGAGAATTACATTGAGATAATATTAAACACAATATAGCCACGAGAAAAGTTAGTTTAAATTAAACAAACTATCATCTTAACTTGAGAATTACATTGAGATAATATTAAACACAATATAGTCACGAGAAAAGATAGTTTAAATTAAACAAAAAATCATTTCAATTTCAGAATACAATATAAATGAATGTTACCAATGATGATGAATAGCAGAAGATAAAAATGTCAGTAATAGTATAATAGTGCAGTATTAAACCTTGTAAATATTAACATGTCAAATTTTAAGATATAATTTACAAGTAACTTAATCTAATATTCAATAGTGTTCACACTTTAAAGCTTTAAGCAGGCGAATAAGCTGAAGAGAGATGTTTGCTTTTTGCATAGGTTAGTGATTCATAGAAATGGAACATGTACATGGCGTATCATTTCCCTATACATGACTTGTACTTATGAGTATAAAATTATCAATGATATATTTACAATATGTCTGATTTATCTATAAATTACCTTCATATTTATTTAATGTTATAATAGGTAATAATACCGCCATTGATACTACTATTGTGGTAATATATATAATAAAAAATATCCTATCAAAGATTAGTCCAATTGCCTTCCATTCTTTAGCTAATTTTTCTTTTCTGTCTCTATCTGATATACGTTCTCTATAACTTTTTACAAAGTCCATTAACTCTGTTAAATGATAGTTTATAAGAGCTAATTGACCTGATTGCTCGTCCGTTGGACTTCGTTTTAAATGAATTAATAAATCACCCGATGCTGAATCTTTGTTCCACTTTTGATCTCCGTTAATTCCCAAGAATCTCGTTCCATCGGCTAACAGACGGGCTGTATGGTTGCCACCTTCTATATAAGGTTGAACCAAATTATCCATACACAATATTTTTGCAAAGAAATGGAAAAGAACCTGAAATGATGAGCACACAAACTTTGTAAGCTTCAGAAGAACATAGAACTACGTCTGAGAAATAAATGTAAAATAGCCACACGGCTTACAAATTAAAAAGCTAAACTCTTTCACTAACAAAGTTCAAATTGATCATTTTAGCGGAAACTACTTCGACCGTTTCGACACTAGCATGGATCATGAGAAATCTTTAGGGACAAAATGATTTGTCTATTGTACAATGTATTTTCATTCTTGATCTTACTACTTTTTCGAATACATCAATGTGGTTCTGACGAAGCTAGAAGATTTAGAAATACTGTACTTACCTTTTTTAGGCACATGGGTACGGGCCTCCTGGCACCATAGAATGATAAATTAACAACAAAGGCGTTCAGAAATGATGACAATGTAATCAGTATCATATTAAGGCAATAATACGTGCCTGAAATAGACCAGAATTAAATTTAGGCACATGATATATATACACATGCTTGCAGCAATCCAAATTTATCTCTAAAGTCATGTGGTGCTTGATTTAGCTGAAAATTAATATTGACTATTGTAGCAATTTGTAAAGTATCGATTTTGTAAGTACCATGACACATCTCAAAGAATATAACAAGCAGGTATCACTTTCAAATTTAACATGTATATAAATAGAACACGTATTTTCTAAATTTGCTACTATAAGCAATACCATTATAATTTTGTTCGACAGAAAATTAGATACAACATACCCAGTAGAGGTACAGAAACCGCCGCCGGTGGTAAATTTGACTCCATTAGTAACAATAGCAAGAAAAATGCCACAAAGATATTGATACCTGAAAAATATTAAAAATATAGTCGATAAATGAAGGTTGGGGTGTAGTAGGGTCATTCAGTAAAGAACAGTCTCAGTGTAATTAATGGTTGTGATGGTTTGAACTGACCCGTTTTAAAGGCATATCAATTCTAGATTCTCAATTAGTATGCCTCAGGGCATCTTCACAATGGCAAGCTATTACTAACTTCGTACATATACCTTAACTGCAATTGCTACTCTTCTTGTATCATGGAATGCAGAAATTTGATTTGATTGTAAGCCACCGAACAAAGCCAATCAGAGCCATCAACAGAAATACTGTAAACAAAATGGCCTTGTGTTCACATTGTAATGTAGTCACCTTACATTCTCTACCATAACAGTAGGTCTTATTAAAATGAAAAGTTTTATAATACAGAAAAGAGGCAACAGTTTTGGTTTATAAACCACCAACCACTTAATATGAAACAGAAATTCATCAAAGCTATATTAGATACATGGCCTGAAGCTGGTTAATAACAACTCTTTTATAATAGACACAAATTCCATTGTCTTTTATCTTCTTAATAAATCATTTAGTAAGAGTAATCAAATATAGATATTAGAAAAGACAAGGTTATGCTACATTAATCATTTTTACTGACAAAGTCTATTTAATGTGTTGAAAATAGCTGTAAACTTAACAAGACGCGATCGAGACACGCAACATATTTTACATAAAAATATTAAATTGTCATAACCGATTGAAATTAAACGCCAGTTTCCATTAAGGTAGTTAATCTTCTGTTTTCTGGTTAATCATCAATACACGATTATCCACAAGTAATTCTTTCACTATTAAAATAAACCATGGTCAGATTTGTTGAACACAAAATAACTACAGTACGGTACGACATGGTACTTATTTGATTTACTGCATGGTAAAGTGCTTTGCTTTCTATGACGTTTGTATGTGAATTGCAAGATAAAAGACTGCCAGGGTACTCAATGGTAATCTGTGGTGTACTGGAAGTCAAATTGCATGCTACTAACGGCGTAACAGCAATTTATTGCATAATCTGTGGTAGTTTTTGTATGTGCTGCAAGGTACATTCGGCGAAGTATCTGCAGTTACATCAAGATTATCAACAAAAAAGGCTTCAATCTGGCATCCGCCAAGCGAGTACCTTTAGTTCTTTAACGCCGATTTCCCCATGTCATTGTTAAAAGTTTTGGGTTGACATGCAAATAGCGTCTCATTGTTGGAAGTAGTTGACATTGTGATGTGATGAGCTCAAGATCCCTCGACTTGAAACTTCATTTCATTTCATCGATGTTGTGACATGCCTGTGGTAATTTTTTGAAAAAGGAGGAACTGTCGGTGAACTATTATAATATGTGGTATATTTTGGTTTACTTTATATGAGAAAGAAATATACAACAATTTTTACAAGGATAACAACTTAGGTTCACGCATATCCTTTAATCCAGCTGATCCCTTGCAGAAACCTCTTCTTTCCCGGATTATCTGTGCGCATTTACAGCTGGGTTGGCTAAAGTAATTGGGAAAGATGACTTATTCAAGGTGAAAGCAATACAATTTGTTGTGTTTCTTTTGGAAATTCATTCACACTAAGCAAGGTATTTGACTTAATTTTCTAACAAGAGTTCAATTGGTAAATAGTAAAAAACAAAAAAAAAGCTATTCGATGATTTGCGGTAAGGTAAATATACCTTTATACCATAAGATAACAAACATTATTTAGTTAAATTGGAATTTTATTCATTTCCAATTATCCACAATGTGAAAGATAGGTGTATTTTAATACTGCCGGAATTCGGTGAAGAAGCCGTTTTAACTTTATCTTTGTTTCAATTTCAACATTCTCACTATAACATGTTATCAACATTTAATCTCACGCCTTCCAACTCATACTAGAAATATATTCGATTCATTGATTTTATTTGTCAGAGGAAAAGCTTAATGGCGCCTTTCCCGCCTAATTTCAATGTTTTTGTTGTGCTTATGGCATATCAACAACTTCTATTGAAAATGCCGATTAACGACTGTGTTTTGTAACGACTTGAGTTTGGTTTTGTCGATATTACAAGTAATATTTATGATTATGAATAAAACTGTTATTGATTTATTTTAGTATTCCCTAATGTTTGTCTATATAGTGAACGTTTAATACATCCTTTTCTTTAACTTGGCACCAGTAATTATTTTTCACTCTAAAATCTTTGTAGAATACTCGCGGGGCATATGAGTGCTTAACGCTTTACTGACAATCACACTATAAAACTGCTATTATGTGAGTTTTAATTTAGAGAAAAGGTGAAAAGCTAATGGTTCTAGGAAACAGACTTCAAAATATCAATATTATATCTAAGATCATAAACTCGTAAAGTGGCAAAATGGCGGAATCTACAACCATTCAAAAGATGTGTGACTTAATCCCTAAAGATCATTAATATCCAGAAACATCACAGTCCGTGTAAAAGCTGTTATTAGGATAGCTTGCCAGGCAAGGTAACATACGCCCATTATCAGAAATGATAACAAGGTTTGTAGTGGTTAAATATGTGAAACCAATCATCCGATTGTTACTAATTTCAAGCTTTACTATAAAGATCTCATACCAAGTTTCATCAAAATCGGATAGAAAATGTAATCTCTATCAGGACTATAAGTCAAATAAGACGCATTGAATTAATTCAAAGGCAATAACTAAAAAAACATTCATCCAATTATTACCATTTTTGAACTTGAGATCTCATCAATTTATACAATGCATACTAGATTTCATCGAGATCAGATAAAAACTGCACCCTGTATCATGACTACAAGCAAAATTTGAAGCGTTTTTTTTACTAAGTCAGGGGCAATAAACCATTCATCCGATTATGACCAAATTTGAACTTGACCGAGATCTCAACAATATATACATGCATACTAAGTTTCATCAAGATCAGATAAAAAGTGTAGCCTATATCATACATACAAGCCAAATTTAACGCGGGCAATAACTCTGAAACCGTTCCTCCGATTTTTACCAATTTCGAACTTGACCTAGATCTCATCAATATATACATGCATTCCAAGTTTCATCAAGATCAGATTAAAGCAGTAGCCTCTATCGTGCATACGAGAAATGTGGACGGACGGGCGGACCGACGGACTTATAGGGGCGACGGCAATATACGTCCACATCTCCATGTGGGCGTATAAAAATAGTTTCGATAACTTAACAAATGACAAAGGCATATATATCTGTTAATTTACAAGTTTTCTTCAATTTCATTTTGATTAGTTTTCTGTTCGTTCACACTGTTTCGGATTATTTATGGGTTCTAGTCATAACCTAATGTATAATGCCTCTACAAAGGATATGAATCAGCCAAACACTATTATCTATAGAGTACAAAATAAGAAGAGAAGGAAGAGTTGAACAACCGATGCTTCACACCAAATGATTCAATCGCCTTAAATTAACACTATTCAAGTGGAAAATTGTTATCTAGTTATACGCTGACAGTTTAGTTGAAATATGACGTAGTATAGATGGTAGAGAATCAAATTGATTAACTTTCAACTATATATTTTATATATAATGCAACAGTTTTCACCCCATATCAAGGAGGTTACAATATTTCAATATGTAATATAATAATTTAGGTCGGACAACCCTATAGAAAACACTTGAAATCAAAGACAAGAGGGCTGGGTAACACAACAACAAAAGTACTTTCCTACAGATAAACTTTTTATGTTACAGATAAAGGGATTTCTTATCTATTACAATATCTTGTAAGAAAAATCTGTATCAAAACTATTTACATGTAGCATACATAGCATGTGTCTATCTGTATCTACAAATTCTATCACTATCATACACATACAGTCATATCTTACATCAATTACTATCCTATAGATAAATCAATATCCAACAGATCAACCACTAGAGATCAATCACTATGCTACATATCAATCGCTATCCTACAGATGAACCACTATCCTACGGATCAAACAATATATACCAGATCAATCACCATTCTACAGATCAACCACTAACTATCAGATCAACCACTAACTATCAGATCAACCACTATCCTACACATCAACCACTGTCTATCAGATCAACCAATATAACACAGATTAACCAATATCTATCAGGTCTTTTGTTTAAACAGTATTTTATTTCTATTATACATAATTTTTACAGAGTATAAATAGGATTTTTGAAACAAGCCAAGGCTTATGCTAATCAGTCACCATCTATCAGATCAACCACCATTTATCAGATCAACCACTATCATACAGATCAATCACTATCCTACAGATTAACCACTATCCTACAAATCAACCACAATCCATCAGTTCCACCACCATCCATCAGATCAGATCAACCACTATCATACAGATCAAACACCATCTCTCAGATCAACCACCATCTCTCAGAACAACCAATATTTCACAGATCAACAACTATCGATCCGATCAACCACTATCTATCAGATAAAACACTATCCTACAAATCAAACACTATATTACAGTTCAGTCACTATATATCAGATCAACCACTATCTATCACATCAACCACTATCCTACAGATCAACCACTATCTATCAGATCAACCACTATCTATCAGATCAACCACTATCTATCAGATAAACCACTATCTATCAGATCAACCACTATCTTACAGACCAATCACTATCTATCAGATCAACCACTATCTATCACATCAACCACTATCCTACAGATCAACCACTATATCTATCAGATCATCCACTATCTATCAGATCAACCAAAATATTACAGATCAATCACTATCTATCAGATCAACCGCTGTCCTACAGATCAACCACCATCTTTCAGAACAAACACTATCTATCAGAACAACCAATATATCACAGATCAACCACTATCTATCAGAACAACCACTATCCTACAGATCAACCACTATCCTACAGATCAATCACTATCTCTCAGAACAACCACTAACTATCAGAACAACCAATATATCAAAGACATCTATCTGTATATCAGACCAACCGCTATCTACCAGATCAACCACTATCTATCAGATCAACCAATATATTACAGATCAACCACTTTCTATCAGATCAACCACTATCTTTCGTATCAGGTCCTATTTTACCTTTCTTTGATATCATGTCTGTTGAGACCTTAGTGCTGGTACAAGTATAATTTATGGCAATTCTTTATTTGAAGATGTACTTTAGTTTAATGGTTTTTAGTCAAAGTATATTTTAATCTGGTAAGTATTTATGTCGTATATCATAAATTAGCAATGAGGGAGAAGTGAAAACAGTAAAACTCCGTAATGTTGCAATTTCAACAACGGTTTTTATAACAAATCATAAAGTTACAACTATTACTAGTATACATGTATTCTATAAGTTAACCAAGAGGGTACTTCGTCAAGTATCTATAGATTTTATTAGATTTCTGAGAGTGTGTAATCAAATCTAAAGTTTAAACTACCTTTACAAAAACTTTCTAAATATATAACATTATAAGAAGTTATACTGCATTATATTTAGCTAATATCTCAACACTAACTACATGTGTTGAAAGTTTTAATGCAGTTAAAGACTTTTTTCTGCCAGTGTGTCAGATTGTAATCTATAGCGATATGTAGTTCGTTTCACGGGTACCAGCATGTGTTTCATTTGGCAACCACCCACAATTTTTACCCATCAATGCAACCTATTAATTTTGATACCAGGTTCACATCAACATCTTGGCGTATCTTGGATTTTCAATTGAATATACTCGCGGTGCATATCAGAACCAAAGACCAAGAGAATCTGTCCATTTTCAATAAAATTACAACTACGAATGAAATGACATCATTTCTGTTTTGGAAAAGCGAAATGTTTTTCCTTAATATTTTTCTGATTACTTGTGGTTGTTTTGTATAGACAATCTTAAGACTAATTATACTATAGTACATGTACTTGTTACTGGTAATCTTAGAATAACTACTTTTTTAAAGGTTACAAATGTAATGTGATGATTAGTCACTCTTGGATGGATCTTCTACTCTAACCTACATTCTTAAACCAATCTTTTGGTTAAAGGTTCTACCAATGTTGACACGTTGTTTTTCCTCATAATTTCATTGTATCTCTTGTATGTGCTACGGTTGCCGTTAAAACAGGTCAACGTTGTTTGACAGGAAACTGAGTAAATGATGGAAACTGTTTCCGGTAAATTCAGTATCAATTCATCTTATCTATTATTTTCAGACAAGGATATAACAGGTTAATATATCAATTTGGCATTTTCCAGGGTAATTATACAAACATAATGACGATTGCTTGTCAGAGTACTCTTTCTACAGATATACATGGTATCTTGAAAGTCGTCAACCTACAACGCGTTGATTACGACACGTTCAAAATATAATAAACGTTCGTACCTTTCGACACTAGTTCGCCGCATCTTATACCACACATGAATCAAATATAGTTCCATCGCCAAGACCTTATGGTGATTTATGGATATGATTTATAAAAAAGTGTTATTTGAAAATAATACGTTGAATCCCAATATATGTGCGATTTTCATAATGACCAGAGAAAATACACTCTTCATAACATCTAGCAATCAAACTTCAAAGTATAGCACCTGAATTAAAGCGAATCTTCATTACTCCATGCGCCGTGGTCATTCGATTTAAATAAATTATGCTTTATTATTTGTTCGGTGTTGTCAGAATAAAGGTTTTGGGGGTATTTTTTTTAATGAATTGAACGATTAGAAATGATTAATGGGTAGACCAAGTGGTGCCTTAAATAGTTGATGGTATTAATCAAGTTTAGTTTAAAAGCCCCTATAAAGAAAGCTAAGTATCGAACACAATTTCTTTACAATATTATTCACCATTCATTCATTATTGATTCTTCCTCTTTAATATTATTAACTCAGATTTGCTTTTCAAATAAAAACTTGTTACATCTTCGTAAGGATCGAACAAAGTTCATTCTAATTTCCTTATTCAAAAAAAAAACTACGACGTCTGAGAGAAGACGGAATGTCAATTTGTTTTCCCAAATTTGTACCATAACAAAGTAGCTTCTGATATGTTTTTATAGACGAATTATTCTCTAGATTGAAGCTGGTAAATGGGCTATGTTGGTTGGGAAACTGGAACGTTTATAAAATTTGTCTGTAATTTGCTCCGTTTGAAAGAAGGGAAAATCAATGAAAGAGGTAACCTCCAAGTAGTGAATATCTAGAAAAATATAGGAGTAAAATCTCCTATCTATTGCTACATAATCTATTATTTATAGAACGAGCTTAGTTTATCTGTCTCATAAATTTTTCCTATACTGGCATTTATATTGGTATACTTCTACATTTTAATATTGAATTTTACAACAACAGTAACTCTGTTGTGTTTTAAAAACTTAATTACAGTCCAACCTGTAAATTTTAGAATAATATGTAGTTCTTTAAGACACAATAGTCCATGGTGAGTTATTATACTTCCAAGATAAGATAGAGCATTTTAATTAAGATACTTAAACGTCAGTTCTTGCATATTGTATAGCGGATATGGTTCATAAATTGCAAAAGGGAATACGTAGGACTGGTCCACATAACAGATACCTTCAAGACAAGATTTCAAGTGAAGTAACACAATCACAAAGCGCTACTAATTAAACTCGGGAAGTAATCATTCATGCCTTCAGTAAGAATGAATTAATAGTAAGAAAAGAGAGTTATACTTACCCAACATTAATTTTGCTGGTGATTCAGGTGGAATCCAAAATAACACTAAGGTGAGTGACGTGAGTAAAACACATGGCAAAATGAGAATATAATTATAAAATGTAGACCGCCGTTGAAAAACTAAGGTAAATGTAAGATCAACGAAAGGTTCCGGACAACATGTATATAACTTAACATTTTTCACTGCTGGTGATTTTAAGATTGTCCAAGAATTACTTGGCACATATTCTGTTAAATCTATTTCAGTCGCATTATTTAATACTTCTAAATCAACTTTTGTACCATCATACGTCCAAGATCCAAATTTTAAATGACACTTCTGAACGTCAAATGGGAAGGCAGCAACATCGATATAACATGAACTTCTATATACAGCTTGGGGCATCCACAATATCACCCCCGTACTGTCTACAACACACAGGGCTTCTCGGTGTTCCTCTAAACGTGGATCTGCACTGAAATATATATGAAAATACATGCCTAATTGTAAAATATTCACATTTTTACTTTTAATATTGGTCGAGGACAAAATACTTCACAATTTTACTCAATTTTCTTTGACATTTTTATTTGCATGGAAACCAATTCCGGACCAACCTATAAAATCTCTTATAATGCAATTGTCTGTCTGTCCTTAGAATGGAAACAATGAAACTTAACGAGAGACACTAGTATCTTATTACAATCAATATTAATTCCTCAATTAGACTCACGCTTTTTTAAAATTTACAAAGAAAGTTAATTTCGTTTTCTGAAATCTAAAATAGACTTCACGAGATATATTTAATATAGTCGCAATGTCAAAGACAATGGCCCTCTCTCACAACCATGGATAACCCAGATCAGATTTTACAGAAAATTACTACAAGTTAAGCGCAGTTTTGAGCTTTCATGATGCCCTCGATTGTTTTCAATGAAGTCAGGAAAACCTAAAATTAGAATGGGCTCTTCCAAAAACACAAATCAATTAGACTATTTAAATACAGACATATAATAACCTGAGCAAGGTTTTTGTGCACCGTTTTATATATATATATATTTAATTATGAATGCAATACTATATTTCAGATCGATTGTGGCCCACAGCTCAGCTAATCTAAAGGCAGGGTTATTTCTCAGCAATGTTTATACAGGTTATCCAGTCGTATGTAACTTAAAACCAAAGCCGAATGTGCCATGGACTGTATGTGTTTATCATTCATTGAATAGAAATTGAAAAAAAAATCTAACCAGCCTTTAACCATTCTCTTCTATGAAAAAAAGAATAGTCGCTTTGTCTTCTTACATGCTATAAGCTAAAAATGTCTGTTCCTTGCTTAATGTTCAGTAAGAAGATCAGGAATTCTTTATTAACGATTTGTGAATAGTGACCAAGAAAAAATGAATGTGATAAACCATCTTGAAATCCAGTCTGATGAATAGATATAGCCTGTTAGACTTTAATTTCCCGAATTAAAATTGGATTTTGTGACCTGTTCGATCTTAGAGAAATATTACTAGTAGGCCTATATATTGAAGAAAGGTTAGTATAGTTTGGTTGACATAGTATGGTTAAGGTTGAGTTAAGGTATAGAAATTGCACCACATTTATGTATTAAACCTGAACAAGGCAATATTAAGATTGGAATGTAAATATTATAATATTAGATGTTATCACTGTAAAGTCAATAATAGTTGATATATGATTTATCAGAAAGAAAAACTGATATTAATGTATGAGGTAAACACATTGAAGTTAGTGGACTAATAAAACAAGTATCGATTGAAAATATATTGATCACAATTTTTATTCCCTAAAATAGAGATTGGGAGAAGTTGGCAAGTAAAAAGCTAATTATAGATTTGAAATCTCTTATCGTTTTCAAGACACCCCAGATAGATTGAGTCCAATTTATGTGATTTAAACGCTATACTAGAAGACCTCGTCCCATTTAACAATAAATCCACACGGGTTACTGTCAATGTCGATCTAATTGCAAGACGACTGTTCATATCCGCCTTAGTACTTCTGGTGTGAAATCGTTTTAAAAAGAAGGTGTAGATAATTGTTCCAGTAATACTCCTTTGGGAAATTTTCATTGAAAATAATGTCTCTTATAAGAATAATGTTCAAAAGGTTCTGAAAATAGACAAAAAGCACTTTCTTGTCGTAAATGTCAGTGAATTGAAAAGTATTTCTTGGCTTAACGAATCGGTGCGTCTGAAAGTAACAAAAAATTTAATGAAGAGAAGTTTTTAAAAGCCAGAAGAAAGTCCGTCATCGTCTCATAGAAAAGCTGAGCTCTCTATTTTTTCAACACCCATTGTCCCTAAATAGCTCGTTTAGTAATCCAGTTCCCTTCGCTCTTAAACGCGTTTTTCCATATCGCATGTCCCTATCACTGAATCCGTTATAATATTTACATTCATTAAAAATATAATTATAAAAAGTAGAACAAATTTAGCCATAAGCACTAGTAAACAGTGCTCAAAAGTTCCTTCTACAACGCCTTTTTCAGCATTTAACCTCATTGTAAGAAATATATCAGAGCCTTACTAGTTGTATAATTTGATATCAGGCGTCCATAATTTTTCCGAAGCAATTCTGACAGAACTAACTCCTCCCCAGTCTTTAGGATCCCATCTCAAATATATATCCTCCCAACTCTGAAATATATGAGGACATAATTTCACAATAATATTGTCATTCCAGGATTATTTAGCAACTTCTGCCAGAAAACAAGATTCACTGTCAAAAGGTACAGTTAGATTGTAATAATTTATCAAGCATCTTGATATTAGCCAGCAGAAACCAGCCGACACTGAACTAATTTATTATAGATTGTGACGTAATGAGATCTGCAATGAGCTTCCTCAAGGAAACTCTTTCTTTAATAAACATCATCTGAGATATGAGCAGAACAGTATTTTTGGTAGATACCTGTCCATTTCTTTGCTAATGCCGATTGTTCAAATACTGATCATTTAGACGTCAATTCTGTGTTTTCATGCTAGTTTCTTGTAAATACTTACATATCTATCCCACACGTTTAACGTTAAGATTTGATTTTTCTCGTCCAAATCCATGATTTGTATAAGCTGCATATTAAAACGTACTTTAACCGTATCATTATATTGTTTGACAGGGCGACCATATTTCCCCCTCCACTTATAAATACGTAATAGATGTTTTATAAGTCTGTCTTCATGGGATAGCTTTATAGGTGGAAATTCTGAAACAGAAATGTTATAATCATGTATTCAGATGAAATGTACGTGAGGGGCATGTTACACGATTTCCTTACAGCTTAAATCAACGTCTGCTTTATCAGCAGAATACATAGTGATGCAGATTCGGCCGCCTTTTCAATTTCGTAAAGTAGTTCTGTCTCTCTGTCTGTATCTGTAGATACATAAATGGCTTCCTAACTCTTGTTGTTTTACTTGTGTGTTTGAATAACAGAGCTTGATAATCGCTAAAGTTATCAGTTACATCAAAAGCTGTGATTGAGTTTCTTGACTAAGCTTTTGAGTTTGATCTGAAGAATCTGTTGTTTCCGTTGATTTACTCCATCGGTAAATATGGATTATATACATATGGAAACTAATAGCTCATTAAAAACGTTTCTTTTAAAACATGCTAATCTTATAAGATATTCCACTGATTTTCTCGTCACTGGTCATATACTAACATAAAATAACGAGTTGGCGATAAAGAGAAAAAGATTCCTATCAATATTAATATTGATAACTTTCCATTTACACACATCAACATAAAAACTTACAGAGGAACTCAACGAGAAAATTGAATGTCACACAAATACACGAAAACGTCCAGTAAAAGATTTCACAAACCCAATTCGATTTCCCTCTGAACCTCACAAATGTAATTACAAGCGTTATCAAAAACTAATGTTCAATGTTAGATGAAAAGCTTTTAGAATTGTTGAATTATTAACGAACGAATATTTGTGTATTTAACACAAATACAAAATCTTCAGTTAACCGTTTTAGCTTGACTAATCAAATTAAGAAGGCACGAGTTAAAAAGAATCTTAGAATGATAAATATCACATTCAATCTGTTTTATAAACTTAACGTTGCTTTCAATTTATTCACATTAAAATATTGGACTAATATCAAATTTTGACAGAAAGCAGGATATATATGAGGAAGAAACAGCACTTAAATAAAACCCAAACTCAACACACATGTGTATGATTTTTATCCACAATGAAGCAGTTTGTACATATTCCTAGTTCTAGCTTCATGTGCATACAACACAACATAGCAATTCAAAAATGTCCCAGAGATTTTTAACGATTTATTTGATAATAAATGTGACATATTATTAACTAAGTCTAGAATAAATCTGGATATCAAGCTGTAAACATCGAACTAGATGATTGTCTATGGAATTGTTTTCAAAGATAATTTTAAGATTATTTTACAAAAGAAGACAAATCACTGTCTAAACACCTCATGTAAATATAAGGCTTAAATTCATACCAGAGCTAGAAATATTTAGCCTTTGAGGCCATAACAGTTTGAGAGATTTTCCCAAAAAGGTCATTCATCCTTATATTTTCAAAACATATAACAAACTCCTTATCAAAGATACTCAATGATTTCCGAGGTTCATAAAAATCAAGACGAACCCATTGCAGAAAACTAATGTAACGAAACTAGAGAAATATTTGAACTGCCTCCCCTTTTGCCTGAGCATAACAAATTAATTCATATCACTCAATTTTACATCGTTTCAATGAACAAGAAACCAGGTCATTTATGCAAAAACCTGAACTATATACTGTCTACTGCTAACTTGAGATGATGTTTATCATGTCTGTATAACACTTGTATAAACATTAATTATAAAACTATACTCTTTGATAGTAGGTGTTAATTCCTACTATATACTACCTAGTTTACCAGGGTAAGGACAAACTTGTGCTACCGTTATGCAGTAACCATCGCAGCCGACTTGAACCTCAATTCCTATATCCAGTCGGATATCTTGTAGTTGAAGAAATTTAGTCATTTAATTTCTGGTAGGACATTCCATTAAACATACGAATTAGGTCCTCCATATAACTGATTGTTATACCACAAACCGGAAGTAAAATACGTTGCGAAAATGGCCATTATGGAGGATAATGCTTTCCATAGTTTCATTCCTTTGTATAAAAATTTAATAATACATGATACTAATAATGGTCCTTGTTAAGCGCAATGACTGGTTTACTGAAATCACTATCTGTTGACTATTCTTTTACTAGACTCAAGGCAGAGAGATATTCAGCCCCGACACAACACGGACCTTGATAATATCTTTGGCAAAAATGAAACTATTCCTACACTTTTATCCTGAACTTCGAACTGTTCCTCATTATCTATATTTTAAATCCAGATTTTGTTCAGAAACACTGACCACTGCCACTCTGATATATGTAGATGTATAAAACAAATTGAAGTAGCATTTATGATGATAATATTAATTCAGGCAAAATTACTCACTTTTATTTCCTTTTTTTAACTTTTTCCCACCTGTAAGATAAAAAAAAGTGTATGAATTCTCATATTTTTTCTTTGTGTCTTGAAAACATACCTTACGAGTGTAGTCGAAGGGAGTAAGGAAGGCCCAATATTTTGTCTTTGCTTCGATTGCGGCTTCGATTCGAATTCAGATTTATTCCGCCAATAACGACTGCGGCCATTACATAGAAAGAAGTAACAATAAAAATCATACTTCTTCCCAGGTCGGTTAGAACCTATATTTTTTCGTTTTCATAATGACGCTCCACTCATACCGATTGAACTGAAATAAGGGATTTATGTTGTGAAATCTAATAACTTAGTTGGAAGGACCAGGTGACTAGTACAAGTACACTGGAGAGAAACTAGTACAAGTTATAAATAATAGTAATTATTAATCATATTAATAACTAGACAACACAATCTGGTATATTTCACTTTAATTCTACTTGTACATCATTACATTACTTGTATCATTTTTATTTTACCAGACGATCTAATTCCTTGATGTCTGTAATGTCAAATAATACAGAAATACAGCGTAGGTCTGTTAAATCATTTAGTGGAACATGTTGTGAATTCCTGCCATATTCCAACTTTTTATAGAATAAAGTGAGAGATAGAAGAAGTTACAGACGGAATTAGGATTTTATTATATATCTGGTAAAGATAGTTCGATATATTGCTCGAACAAAACGTTCAAATGATCCAAGTTTATAATACATATTGTTAAAAAAAATAATTGAAGTAATCTATCGACCATAATTCCCTACAGACAAAAAATTTGAAACAAAATATATGTAGGAATAAAAGCCAATAATGTCTTGTCTTGATGTCCTTAATACAATCATACCATTTTAAAACAATATTTTGAATTCAGAAAGATACTTTTAAACCATGCACGCCGGATCCTTGTTCTATAGTTGTATCGTGTTGTATGACAATCAGTGTTCTATTTATATAATCAGAACTTAATTATTACCATTTGCATTTAATTGTCAGATAATAACTAGCTGATTCTCGCATATTCACAACAAAAGGTTATTGTTATGACTATTAAGTTTGATATAAGTAGTGGCAATAATTCGTTATTGTTTGTCATTTAGACAATTCAGTCCAGACTAAAATCAACAAAGACAATACCCTTGTCTTATGTATTTCTCAAAGTGACATTGAATTTAATATTTTGCTTTAACGTGACGTCAAATTGACTTATTCTGTATCGAAAACATCTATACTATTCAGAATAATTGTCATTTATATTTATCTGAGTAGACATATTTTAATTACGACACAAAACTTTTTGGAAATCAATTATCGTACTGGAAAGATCACACGGAAACTGACTGTCAGTTGCAATATCTTGTATTTGCTTTGTTTCAAATTGATTTAAAAACAGTAATGTACAATGGCAATTCTAGCAACATTTGTTGTCAAAAAATTCAGTTAAGATTAATCCTATGAAAGCAATAATTGCCATGTAACATGCCAATGTAAAACACGCTAAAGTAAATAGCACAGGAACCTTGACAAAGTTATAATATTGAGTTGATACACCTGATGAGTTTACCCTACGAAAGAATGTCAATGTTGATGACTTTGTTTGCCAACCAATTTTGATAGGTACCTGTATGTACACATTACTCTGGGTGGCATATTATTATGATATTATCTGCTACCGAATCTGCTAGTGTGTTTTCTTAGTATAGCTTAAATACAAATTTTATGGAATTCTTCCTGGTAAATCTTTGAATGTGGAGATATAAATTGGTGGCAATTGGTTCCTTGTCGTGAATGTGAGTTCGAATCAAGTTTTTGGACAAACAATATTGCTTGATATAAGACTACCGATTACACATATCATGAAGATGTATAATAGCGATTGAATATGACCCGAATGTGCATTAATATCCTACCTCTACTTTGATTATCTTTTTGATTTAATATTTTTAGGTGTTTAGGTCTTATAGATAAGTCTTTTAATGGAAATATTACGCAAATTATTAATTGTGAAATAGCTTAACGTTTTCTTAAACAGAAAAATGTTTTGTCTAGGAGAGGCGAATGAGTCAGTTATAAACTATGATAGAGAATGTTATTTGAAAGCATGGAGAACAATGATATTTTCCAGATACCATTAAGCTCATTAATTGTAAGTTGTATTAGAAACAAGAGCTAGTAAGCAGACACAAGAAACTATTTGATGTTATGGTGAGGTTACAATGCTTTTGGCTAGTATTTCTGGTGATATAAACAAGTCGGTAAAATACATAATATTTAGACAAGAGAACCTAGCCAATATATATGTTTATTGTATTGACACTTGTGTTATGATACACAGGTATTAACAGACCTCCACTCCTCAACCAACAGAACAAATTGTTTTGTCTTACTCTAATTTATAAAACTTATAAAATAGCATAAATTCTTGGTTGCAAGACATAGAGTGATACTCTACCTACTGATGTATTTGTCTACTGAATACCAGTTTCATTATCTTAAGTCGACGATTCCGACAAATTGACCTACAAACATTAAGATTAATTTGTGCTTACTTTTTTTTTTAAATAATTGATAATTGTATGACTGTGACTTTGCTTCAGGATTTCGACAATATCACCTCTTCGGGGTATTTTAAAGTATGGCCAAGAGCACCACTTTATAAGTTTGCTAGCTTTATATTATAATTTTACACAAACGAACCATCACGTTTTGACACCATTACCACTGCAATAGAATATTTGATTCAATAAAATAAAGATTGCTAGGGACACAAGCCTCAGTCTCGAACGCTTTCTACCTACTTCACAAACTTCAAGGGCACTTATATTTTTAATTCAAATTAACTTTGATTTTGAGATTGTTTATTTCAACACTTGAAGTTATTTTAACACTTAATTTAGATCAAGTAATATTTCGATGGAAATTACACTACAATCAAAGAATGTGATAGAACAGGAAAAGCTAGTTTATTGAACAGATCCTTTAGAGTGGTTTTGATAATGGAATTTATAAGCAGACAGTGTAATAGCAGTGATATTATTGAAAAGCAATTAACACATTCTACTGTAATGTTCATTTAGAGAAAGTAAACAGTGATAAAAGTAATGATTATGGAATTTGATTTGGTTGCAATGGATATTATTGACTGTCAGTGGTTTCATTTTATAGATACAAAATGAGTTTGTTGTGTCTTCCAACAAGTGAATATTTAAGTCGTAATAACTTTAAATTAAGAACGAAATCACATCCCATTATATAGTTTTAGTTTCTTCGTTGAACTTTCTGAAATTGTATTTCAGCAACCAAATAGTTCGAACTTTATTTCTTTCAACCGGCCAAAAAATATCTTTCAGAAGCTAAATTTTGTTTAGAATCTAGCAACTAAAATGCTGTTTTGAGTCAAGTTAATTATATCAAAATGGCCGATGCGTAGTATTGAGGAAAATGATAATGTTGGTGATCAAGTTCAGGGTGATTGTCAAGCTAAATGATCAATGGAAGTTTAAGACAATCTTGTTGGAAAACTCTCCCACGAAAATACCTTTCAGGTTGTTTTCCTTCTACTAGAGGTTCCAGATGATTACATTACATGTAGGTTTCTTGAAGTTGAGGTTGAACAATGTGTTGCTTGGTTGAGATATTGAGATATTGAGGTATTCGTGAAATGTATCAATGTTAATGATGTCACTGACAACTGCCAACTTAAGCAAAACAAAAACACGTGAAATCGGCCAACGGAAAATAAAAATACTAGTTAAATAAAGAGAAAGTTTTGATTAGTTGAGTTTTTAGATTGTTTGTGAAATTCATAAGGCGGAAAAGAAACCACAAAGCGTTTCCTCAAAGCTTGTATATTTAATCAAAAAGATAGTGACAAGTTGCTTAAATTTAATACATACAAACTTCATTATTTCATATTTTGTAACCTTTGAAATCTCTATTTTTCTTAAAATAGACAATCGAAAACACCGGCATATAAATGTGTGTTTATTGTTTAAATGATGCCAGTGAATTTTACAACAGAAACTCTTTCGCTCAATTCCCCGGCTAATGATGCATCCTTTTTGTTTGTTAGTGTAGAATTTCATTTGAGAAACAGAAGGTATTGCATTGATGTATTATTTTCAGATCTGGTTAATGTATTTAATAAATCGTGTTAGCTTTTAACAATTTTCATTTCAATAACCTTTTAGTTATAACTCGGTCCAAAGAAACTTGTGTCATGTTAATAATTTGGTCATTGAACTTGTGATGAAACTCATTTAGGTGATACAAAACTGTCAATTTGTTATTTAGTATTGCCTTTCTGGTGGTTTTTAAATCTAACTTGCAATAAACTTTCTAACTATCGACTTATGATTACGACCAATAGTTAAATGAAATTTTTGAAGACATAAACCTAAAAATAAACGTGATTTAAGTTTTACTCTAAAGAGATGATTGAATAAGAAGTATGAAGATACGAAGAATATAAATAAGCTGTCAGCTGGATAAGACAGCTGT